CTGCTGAACTGGAGGGCTGCAGGACAGGGATCAGAGAGTAATGAAGACCCTGTCTAGACTGCTGCTGTCTCTTTTTCTTCAGTGTGCACACACGTGCTCTCTATCATGAATAAAAATAAATACTTTTTTTAAAAAAAGAGGAAGAATTGTATCTGTTTGAAGCAAACAGGAATATTGAGAGTACACAGACTCTAGGGAGATTGATTTAGGTCTGATACATATGTAAAACACTGAGCTATGCACTTAAGACTTTAAGATTGTTGTGTTTTATGTAATTTATACCTCAATAAAAATAAACTTAAAAAATAACAAATACTTCAAAAAGAACCACGTTGAGGGCACAAGTGGAAATGGTTTTATATTCTCTAAAACAGGCAAAAAAACTACTGTTTATAAAATCCTGGAACTGAACTTTTTTTTCAATATTGCAGAAAACCATTTTAAAAATAAATTAAAATGCAATGTCATGTAAGTGAGTCTTTATTCTGCAACTGAATAAACAGACCATAGCACATACTTTTTGATCTTGATAAACTTAGTGACAATTGCTACACTTATAGCAAATGGAGCTCTCAGCTTCCCACTATCATTCCTCTCCTAAGTCCAGACACTGTGTTTAGTCCTGTATCTGTGTCTATGGGTACATATTAGGTACTGAAAAATTTATACAGTCCAGGGAACCAGCAGTTAGCGTAATGGCTAAGTTGCTGGATTCTCACATAGTCGACCGCGGTTCGCATCCCGGACCCGGTGGCTTAAAACTCACGCCGGGCACGTGTGTGTGCATGCCCAGGATCCTGAGAGGAGAACGGAGGAGAAGGGATTACAGCGTGACCATCCCCCCTGGGGGGTGATTTCTCGCTTTCTGTCTCTATGTCTCTCTCTGTCTGTCTGGCAAGCGCACACACCCTATAGCGAAAATCTCTCCAAAAAAAATATAAATAAATAAATAAATAAATAATTTATACAGTCCACAGCAGGTTATAAACTAGTGTTTACTTAAGAGGATTCCGTGGATCACTAGGTCCACAGAGTACCTGGAAAATTGTTCCATGGTCAAATTATGAAACACTACATACTATAATCCTCTCTTAGAGATTTTACAGTGCATATTAGCATGCTAAAAACTATAAAAAGTCATGCAAGTAAAGAAACATTTTTAGGGGCCAGTAGATAGATAGCATAGCGGTTACATCACTGGACTCCCACATTGCAGACTGCAATTTCAGCCCTGGATCTGGTGGCTTGAAAATCACACCAAGCACGTGTGCATGCATGCCCAAGATCCTGGGAAGAGAATGGAGGAAAAGGGATTGCAGAGTGGTCATCCTCCCGGGGGGTGGTGTGTGTGTGTGATTTCTCACTTTTCCTCTCGCTGTCTCTGTCTCTCTCTGTCTCTTCAGCAAGTGTACCTCTAAGACGAAAACCTCTAAAACCAAAAAAGAAACCTTTTTAGCTTTGTTCAGCCTAGCATCATCCAAACCTATTTGACCAAAAGAGCTTTATTTCCATGCATTCTCATTATATGCTATATGACTGCTTTTCAACAGAAAACACTTCAGGGGCGTGTTCTGTAGTGCAGTGGTTAAGTGCAGAGCACCAGGATCCAGATCCCGCATACCTAACCATGGTTCAAATCCCATCCCCAGAGGCTTAAAAAAGCACACCAGGCATGTGAGTGTGTGTGACTGTGTGTGTGCTCCAAATCCCAACATGATGGAGCAATAAAGGAGAAGGGATTGCAGTGCGGCCATGCCCAATTGGGGGTGCTTTCTCTCTCTGTCTTTTGTTCTCTTTTCCTCTCTCTCTGGTGAGGGCATGTCCTCTCTAGCAATTAAAGGAAAAAAATGTGAAAAAAATATTTTGGGAAATGCTAATTTAAACAACCTATGGATGACGAGTCCACAGAAAATAACTGGGCAATTGATTCCAAGACCTATCGCTAGCTTATGGAGATAATGTTATGAAGAGCAACTATAATCTTATATCATAATATGTTCCCTGGTGGTATTTCCGTGGACTTAAAGATACTTAACTGAATAGAACATTAGTCTAATCCATAAAAATATTTATTATATTCTTAAGAAAAAAACCATAAGAGATCAGAGAAGAAACTAGAGATGATAAAAGAGCTGAATAGAAGAACTTTTAAGAAGAAACTAAAAGAGTTTATATGACTCAATCTGGGGTAGAGATGGAGAAAGGATCAAATTACTACATTAAGAGCTCTAAAGTTAAAAATGTGCTGGCGGGTAGCAATCCTGATCCCTACTGAGGTCAGAAAAGACTTAGTCTTAAACTATAGAACAGAAGATTAAAATTAGACTTAAAAAATACCTCGTGACAGAAAAAGATGTGAAAACATGAGGAAAACTGAAAAGAAATAGCCTTTCTGTATTGTCAGTGTTATTTGTCATGGACGACCTAAGTATGTTCTTGGAGGCAAGAGGCTAGACGTGATAACCTTCTGTACAACTCATCTATGAAAACCGGGAGACTGTGATCTCCCATCTTTCTTACTTGAATTTTCCCAACCATGAATCAGCAATGGCTGCTCCCAGGATGGGAGTGAAATAACAGAGGCTGCTGAAGGCATGGTAAACAGACGTAGAGGTGTCTTCACTCCAGTGCAGAAAATACAGGAAATACAGGGTCAGCACAGCTGAAGTAAACAAATAATAAACAAATAAATAAATACAGGAGGTTGGGGGGAGACATAACAAGACAGATATATTAAAGTGACTTATGCAGAAATAGATTTCATCTCTGGCCTTTGAAGGGATCCTGGCCTTCACTCTGGTCAGTGAAGTGACTAAAGAGTGACCACCAGGCAGTAGAAGCAAAATAGACAGGCGTTGTGGAAGTGAAGGGGGCCATGCTGAATGTACAATGCCACACGCCTCTCTTTAGGTTATATGCATCATTTGGACCCAAAATGAGTACAACCTGGTGCTTGCAATATTCCATATTTCTCTTTCTCAGCAACAATATAGTTCTAAGACCAGAGGAACAGTTACTGAAGTATGGAACTCAGATGATTAGAACTTTCCCACTTAACATTTTTACAGTCTGCGTTCTGGTTTCCCACAGGCCTTTCTGATTCTGGCCTGGAGGAATTATTAGGTGACAACACCTCCCATGAGGGAGGTACACAGAAGACCAGGCTGTTACAAGCATAGGGTGAGGGTTAGTGAAAAGGACTAGGACTCTGGGACATAAAATTACCTTTCATGCCATAATAGGAAAACCGCTCGCAGAATTCATTCACCACAATGAAGACGATGCTCAGTGGATAGTTGGAGCCACAGATTTTCTATGCAACAAAAAGGCAACGGTTCAAGCGTGAGCTCGTTTTCCCTCTTTCAACTGTTAGATTGCTCCACAGCTGAGAAAACGATTACTTTCAGATCACCATGGTAGATAATGTGGAGCAATGGTCCCTACTCCTCAGGAAACAGCTCTTGTCACACTAAAAGTAATTGCACTGCTGATTTAGGAGGAATAAAAGCTAATCTGAATATCATTTTGTCCCTCATTTCTTTAACATGGGACTGCCCAGACATCCCTTGATCCTTCCTAGTCACCAGGACCTTCTCATCCTCTTACACCTACTAACAGAAAAACCCGCAGCTCCGAGTAAGAGAACAATCGTACTTATTTCTAAGAACTGAATGAAGAAGTGGCTGATAGAACACCTGATAAGCAAAGAGTTCAATTCAGATGTCAGTATCCTGCTTAACTCTACCGTGGGGACTAGCCCCTGTGGTCCCCACCTGACCTGTTTATCATAGTAGGAAAATCCTGGCAATATGCTGGCTTCTCCACCAGAGGCTGCAGAAGTTAGGCACAATAAAATACAGAAGGCAGAGATACCTAAAGGCAACCAGATTGATCACCTTGACTTTGGACAGAGAGTTCTTAAATCCTACAAAATAAAAAAATGCCCTCTTGGGACCAGCAGATGATATAGCAGTTATATTACTGAACTTTCACATGGCCAATTGCAGTTGGAGTCCTGGACCCAGTGGCTTAAAAATCATGCTGGGTAGGGAACCAGCAGTTAGCGTAATGGCTATGTCACTGGACTCTCATGTAGTTGACCGCGGTTCGCATCCCAGACCCGGTGGCTTAAAACTTACGCCGGGCGCGTGTGCGTGCGTGCCCAAGATCCCGAGAGGAGAATGGAGAAGAAGGAATTGCGGCGTGACCATCCCCCCTGGGGGGTGATTTCTCGCTTTCTGTCTCTATGTTTCTCTCTGTCTGTCTGGCGAGCACATGCGCCCTATAGTGAATTGCTCTCAAAAAAAAGAAAAAAAAAAAGAAAATCATGCTGGGCAAATGTGCGTGCGTTTCCAAGATACCAGGAGAAGAATGGAGGAGAAGGGATTGCAGCGTGGCCAGCCCCCTGGGAAGCGGGTGTGATTTCTCATTCTCTCTCTCTCGTGAGTGTATGTACTCTAAGGCAAAAAGCTCTAAAACAAAATGCCCACTTGGGACCAGCAGTTAGCGTAATGGCAATGTCGCTGGACTCCCATGTAGTCAACCGCGGTTCGAGTCCTGTACCCAGTGGCTTAAACTCATGCCAAGCGTGTGTCTGTGCCCAAGATCCCAAGAGGAGAATGGAGGAGAAGGGATTGCAGCATGGCCATCCCCCCCAGGGGGATGATTTCTCGCTTTCTGTCTCTCTGTCTCTCTGTCTCTCTGTCTTTCTGGCGAGCGCACGCACCCTAGAGCAAAAACCTCCCCAAAAAAGGAAAAATAAAATGCCCACTCTTCTACTAGAGCTATTCTATAAAATTTTCATGATAATCCTACTGGACTACACTATTTCATTCACCGTTATCGGGCAGAATATAAGGAATGTCACATGTTCTTTCAAATCCTTCTTCATTACAATAACTAAACTAACATGGAAGGGGATAGAGAGATCTGTGGTTGGCATGGTCAGATTTTATCACAAGATTTGTATTGTCTCTTATTTCCAAAGCAACATATACAGCTTTGTAAGAAGCCTTTAATTCTTTGGGACTAAAAGAAATAAAACTCACTAAGTAAGTAGATAAGATAAATTATTCATTCTTTTACCCATATGGATATACATAAACAATCTTCCTAAATATATGTTAATATACGATAATAACTTGCTTTAAAAAAAAGACAATAATCTGGGCTTCTTACCTTCCCAGCTCAGAGTTTGAGAATTATGTGACCTGTAATTTAGGTTACATACTGTCACTAGCTATTTAACACTGTCATTAGCTATGTTAGCATACTGACACTGGCCATGTCACCACACCTGTCCCTATGCTTCAGTTCTGTTCTTCCAAAGAAATGAGAAGAACACTTCTGGCCCATAGTAAGGACTCAGAAAATATTGGCCATTGTTACTATATCTTTTCCAGTTACAGGATTTTTTTTTTCTTCTTTTGCCCAAGGGCATGTGCACTTCCCAGAGAAGGAAAGAAGGAGAGAAAGAGAAATCACCCCATGATGGGACTTGATCACACCACAATCCCTTCTCCACTTCCCCCTTCTGTCAAGATTTGGGATATATATACATATGTGCCCAGTATCTTTCTCAAGCTGCTGGAACTGGGATTTAAACCACTGACGGTAATGTGTTTTCTGCTCCAGTAACCACTAGGCAATTGGACAGGTTCCAGGATGTTGATAGGAGGACTGAACAAGATAATAAACTTGGAAGTGCTTTAACAAATACACAAACAGGATCTCTTCTTAGATTCTCTGTCCTATTTCCCACTGGAAACACAGAGTAACAGAGACTGCATCTATTCTAAAATTTCTATTGGTGTCCAACAGAAGGCTCTGCACACAGGGGGAACTAAAGGCTGAGTTTTTAATTTGTAAAGAAAGAACAATCACACACAGTTCTCCAGACAGGAATGCTTGCCAAGTTTCCCTGGCCATTCAAATTGCTTTTTTTTTGGTTTGTTTAGTTTCCCCAAGGGAAACGCAGAATATGCAATGAAATATAGCAAAACCCTGGGTCTCGACTGAAGGACTCCGACTTCTTCCTGCTGCTTTCTCTCCTACATAAAGGAAGCTTCTGTATAGACTTGGTTTTCAGCTGAATTTTACGTTCAGGAGAGAATAGTTTTATACCCTAATACAGCTCAGCCTGAAGTTCCAGAGGCCCAGGAGAAAAGCCAGAAGTGCAAGGCTATTGCTGTCAGAGATAGAACTGAGTTTGAAGACTCACCGGAGATGGCTTCTTGGAAGTGCTGAGGGACTGAGATGGTACTTCTTCGGTGGAGACAGGTGAAAAAAGAGTTTCCTTGGACTCATTTTTCTGGAAGGAATTCATGGCTGGCTCCTTACTCTCTCTCTCCTCGAGCATTTGGCTTCAGTAGGCAGTTAGGACAGCTGCCAGCCTACAGAAAAATGGGGGACTACAGGAGGAGGTGGCTTTAGCAACTAGGTTTAACCCTGTGGGTGTCAGCTTTAGTAGCTGCCGGACCAGAGCAAAGCAGGAAGCTATAAGAAAGGGTTGGTGTACTACTTCAAAAGAATGTTGTGTACAAGGCAGGGCACCAGGAAAGGAGAAGAAAACATCACAAGATGTGATGAGACAATGCTAGGGGACTGATAAGGAAATTTATTTATATTTCAGAGAGCTTATCTTCAAATGATACAAGATAGTTAAGAATAATGCCTTAAGCAAAGATTGAAAAATGGATTACAGAGTAATAAAAGCTGCCATTTATTGAATATCCGAAGCCCAGATTGAAAACTGGTTTCAGAGTAGCAGGAGCTGTTTATTGAACAGCTATTATGTGCAAGGCATATATATATGTACATATACATATATATGTGTGTGTATACATATATGTATATATGTGTACATATATATGCATATATATATTTTTTATATATGTCACATGTATTTATACTTTAATTGTTACTACTGTCCCTGTTTTACAGAAACTAATATTCCAAGTGGTTAAGGAATTTGTCTATAGTCACAGGGACAGTTCTGGAATGTTCACTATGCCATAACAGACAGGAAAGAGAGATTAGTATCAGTAAAACATTGGCCATTATTCAGGTATGGAGTCTATGCAGGAATATAGGGGAATTGGAATGCATTAAAGAGGAAAAATCATCACAAAATTGAGTTTGAGAGATAGAAAAATTTGTTTTTGATTTTCAGCGTCATAAAGTTCAGCTAGAGTTTTCTATAACAATTAATAGGGAAGGGGGAGGGCTGACTGATGGCGTGATGGTTAAGGCAGCTGGATCCCATATGGCAGACCATACAATTCGAGTCCCAGATCTAGCAGCTTGAGTGTGTGTGCCCAAAATCTTGAAAGAAGGAATAAATGGACAAAACTATTAAATGCAGTGTGGCTATGCTTTCTCACTCGCTCTCTCTCTCCCTCTTGTCTCTCTCTGGCAAATTAAAAAAAAAAATGTGGGGCAAAAGAAGATGAGAGAAAAAGGTTGATAGTATTTGGAAATCATTCTTCTCCTTTGATGAATTTATTCCTTGTTTATTCATTTACTCACTTCAAGATGAATCATCATTTCATTAATTTTTTAAAACAAATTTGAGCAAAATTGGTAAACCAGTTGTTTTGTAGGTACTGTTGCAAATATTATTTTCTTTGCTTTTCAGTGGATGGACTTCAAAGTGACTCCAGAATATTAAATTAAGTCCTTATTAGAAGAGGAACAAGAACTAACCTGATGATGATGGATGCATTTTATACAGTACTATTTTTGATACATCCAAAAGATAAAAGAACAAATGACCATGATGTCCCTCTAGTTGTCAGTCAAAGAAAAGAACAAAGAATGGCTTAAAGTTATAAAAGAAATAAGAAAAATGAGGACTAAATCAACAGGGAGATCATGCAACACTTAAGAATTATTTTATTTATGAATATAAGAGAGAGGCTAGTAGGTGATGGGGTGGTTAAAATGCTAGAATCCCACATGGCCAACCATGGCTTGAGTCCCAGATCTCCTGGTGGCTTGCTTTCTCCCTGTCTCTCTCTCTCTTTCTCTTGTGAGCACACATGCCCTGTAGCAAACTGAAAAATAATAACAAATAAAATTAGAAATAAATAATTCTTGAAAAAAAAAAAGAACATGAGAGAGAAAACATTTGGCTCCATTCCTCACAAAATTCTTATATTATCTAACTGAATAACTTAGTGACAAATAGGCTAGGATAAACTTCACTTTGCCCCTCTGAACTGTAACTCAGACTTTGACAATGTCTTCTTGGCTTCTATTATGCTCTTCATTTCTCCTGTCTCTCATCAACCTTTATCCCCCAAAAAAGGCCAGCCTCATTTCTGACTGTGCCATTAATAGTTAAACTGTAGTTATTCTTTCATGAGGTATTGCTGTTTCCAACTATTTCAGTTAATGACCATGGATGTGAAACAAATGAATACTCAGAAGTTATAGCCAGGTTAACTAGGAGAGGCACAGACACCTTGAAGACCTATCGTCAGTGGCTTCTCTTATTCTGACCTCATACCTCTAGAATGGCATCTGATCTGGAAGAAAAGATGAAATAGCATTTGTATGCAATGCACAAATTTATTTGTGCTTAAAGGTACCCCAAATTCTAAAACTTTTAGAGAACTAGCATTGGTTCTCTGACATTCCTTTGTTTAGAGGAGATTCTCTTTTTGCTTTTGGCAAGAATATCCACAGAATAGAATCAAATCAAATAAAATAAAATAAAAAAGAGATGAAAGGAAACTGGTCTTATTTAGGCTAAAATTCCTCATTGAAACTTACATATATATGTTTATAAAGAGATAAATATGGTTATGATATATATAAATATATACATAATATTATGTATATACACAAATATATATAAATATGGATATCTCAAGTGGAGTGAGACCTGTGAATGTAACAAATGTAGGACAGCCTTTGCTAATCTTTCATGTATCCAAAGGCACATGAAAATACACTGGTATGGCCAGTTCAAACTGGTTTAGATCGGTTCAAAATGGTTTTGGATGGTTCAAATCGGTTGCATTTGGTTCTGGCTGGCTCAGACCAGTACAAACTAGTTCAAACTGGCTCAATCTGGATCAGGCAAGTTCAGGCCAGTTCAATTGGGCTGAATCCAATTCTAGCCAGTTCAAACTGGTTAAGACTGTTCCAAACCAGTTCTGGCCAGTTGCCACCAGTTCAAAATGGTTCAGGCCAGTTCAAAATGGTTCAGGTCAGTTCAAACTGGTTCAGGCCAGATCGAACTGGTTCAGACCGATTCATACTGATTCTGGCCAGTTCAGACTAGTTCAAACTGGTCCTGACTGGTCCAAATTGGCTCAATACAATTTCGAGCAGGTAAAATTGGTTCTGAGGGGTTCAAACCATATCTAGCTGGTTAAGGCCAGTTCAAACAGGTTTAAGCCAGTTTGGGCCAGTTCAATCTGGTTGAAATTTGCCAAAACTGGTTCTGGATGGTTCAAACTGCTTTAAACCAGTTCAAACTAGTTCAGGCCGGTTCAGGCCAGTTCAAACTGGTTCAGATGGGTTAAAACTGATTCTGGACAGTTCAGATTAGTTCAAACTGGACCTGACTAATCCAAACTGGCTCAAAACAGTTTTGTGCAGTTAAAACCAGTTCTAACTGGTTCAAACCAGCTGCACAAAGAGATCACAACAGAACAGCAAAGAGATTCCAGATCACCACTTTCTGCTTGCTCCTGAATGTTCAGATTGAACTTCAAGAATTAGGAGGAAACACACCATCCATCAGATGACTAGAAATCACCGCAAGATCACAAGAAATATGGGAAAACATGAAAATACCTCTCCTCCAAAGGAAAAGAATATCTCCTCTTCATCCGCAAGCAGTTCAATGCAAATAATGGAAATGTCTGATAAAGAATTTAGAACATTCATAATGTCGAAGCTAACAGAGATAGAAGAGAAGAGAGACAATGACCTGCAGAAGAAGGAGGAAAAAGAAGCTGACAAGTTCCAGGAGGTGAGGAAATTCTTGCAAGATCTAAAAGAGGAATTACACACTTTAAAAAAGAATCAAACGGGGGGGACCAGCAGTTAGTGTAATGGCTATGTTGCTGGACTCCCATGTAGTCGACCATGGTTCATGTCCTGGACCTAGTAGCTTAAAACTCACACCGGGCACGTGTGCATGCGTGCCCAAA